ATTGGTATTTCATATGAAATTATAAATACATTTGGATAAGTTTAATGCAAAAGAGCAAGAACGACTTGAGAATATTAGGTTATTTCAAAGTGAGTCTGGAAAGATTTTGTAAGAAAGTTTCGCCAAAATTTAAAGACTCGTTTTACTTGAAAGTTGAGAATCGCTTCAGAAACATATATGCACCAAATCCTATTCGTGTTGTTGTTTAGTTTAACGCAGTAGTCCACGTACACAGCTGTTTGAGAAGGCGCAAAATATGCAATGTGTGTGGTGTGCAATGTGCTGAAACACGATTAACACAACAACATAGCAGTTTGATAAAAGTTCACCACGGTTCATATACAGATCTGAATAAGGACCAAGGCTCTGGAAATTCATACCAAGTCCCTGTGGTATAAAATTCATACCAAGTCCCTGTGGTATGAAAGTGAGTAGAAATTCATACCAAGTCTCTGTGGTATGAAATTCATACCAAGTCCCTGTGGTACATACCAAGTCCCCGTGGTACATACCAAGTCCCCGTGGTACATACCAAGTCCCTGTGGTATGAAATTCATACCAAGTCCTAGTGGTACATACCAAGTCCCTGTGGTATAAAATTCATACGAAGTCCCCGTGGTACATACCAATTCCCCGTGGTACATACCAAGTCCCCGTGGTACATACCAAGTCCCTGTGGTATGAAATTCATACCAAGTCCTCGTGGTACATACCAAGTCCCTGTGGTATAAAATTCATACGAAGTCCCCGTGGTACATACCAATTCCCCGTGGTACATACCAAGTCCCCGTGGTACATACCAAGTCCCTGTGGTATGAAATTCATACCAAGTCCTCGTGGTACATACCAAGTCCTCGTGGTATAAAATTCATACCAATTTCCCGTGGTACATACCAAGTCCCCGTGGTACATACCAAGTCCCTGTGGTATGAAATTCATACCAAGTCCCCGTGGTACATACCAAGTCCCCGTGGTACCCTGTGGTACATAACAAGTCCCTGTGGTACATACCAAGTTCCTGTGGTACATACCAAGTCCCTGTGGTACCCTGTAGTACATAACAAGTCCCCGCGGTACATACCAAGTCCCTGTGGTACCCTGTGGTACATAACAAGTCCCTGTGGTACATACCAAGTCCCAGTGGTACCCTGTGGTACATAACAAGTCCCCATGATACATAAAAGTCCCTGTGGTACCCTGTGGTACATAACAAGTCCCCGTGGTACATACCAAGTCCCCGTGGTACATACCAAGTCCCCGTGGTACATAACAAGTCCCCATGTACATACCAAGTCCCTGTGGTACCCTGTGGTACATACCAAGTCCCTGTGGTACATACCAAGTCCCTGTGGTACCCTGTGGTACATACCAAGTCCCTGTGGTACATACCAAGTCCCTGTGGTACCCTGTGGTACATACCAAGTCCCTGTGGTACATACCAAGTCCCTGTGGTACATACCAAGTCCCTGTGGTACATACCAAGTCCCCGTGGTACCCTGTGGTACATAACAAGTCCCTGTGGTACATACCAAGTTCCTGTGGTACATACCAAGTCCCTGTGGTACCCTGTAGTACATAACAAGTCCCCGCGGTACATACCAAGTCCCTGTGGTACCCTGTGGTACATAACAAGTCCCTGTGGTACATAACAAGTCCCCATGATACATAAAAGCCCCTGTGGTACCCTGTGGTACATAACAAGTCCCCGTGGTACATACCTAGTCCCCGTGGTACATACCAAGTCCCCGTGGTATTCTGTGGTACATACCAAGTCCCTGTGGTACCCTGTGGTACATACCAAGTCCCTGTGGTACATACCAAGTCCCTGTGGTACCCTGTGGTACATACCAAGTCCCTGTGGTACATACCAAGTCCCTGTGGTACCCTGTGGTACATACCAAGTCCCTGTGGTACATACCAAGTCCCTGTGGTACATACCAAGTCCCCGTGGTACATACCAAGTCCCTGTGGTACATACCAAGTCCCTGTGGTACCCTGTGGTACATACCAAGTCCCTGTGGTACCCTGTGGTACATACCAAGTCCCTGTGGTACATACCAAGTCCCTGTGGTACATACCAAGTCCCTGTGGTACATACCAAGTCCCCGTGGTACATACCAACTCCCCGTGGTACATACCAAGTCCCTGTGGTATTCTGTGGTACATACCAAGTCCCTGTGGTACCCTGTGGTACATACCAAGTCCCTGTGGTACATACCAAGTCTCTGTGGTACATACCAAGTCCCTGTGGTACATACCTAGTCCCTGTGGTACATACCAAGTCCCTGTGGTACCCTGTGGTACATACCAAGTCCCTGTGGAACATACCAAGTCCCTGTGGTACATACCAAGTCCCTGTGGTACATACCAAGTCCCTGTGGTATTCTGTGGTACATACCAAGTCACTGTGGTACCCTGTGGTACATACCAAGTCCCTGTGGTACCCTGTGGTACATACCAAGTCCCTGTGGTACATACCAAGTCCCCGTGGTACATACCAACTCCCCGTGGTACATACCAAGTCCCTGTGGTATTCTGTGGTACATACCAAGTCGTCCCTGTGGTACCCTGTGGTACATACCAAGTCCCTGTGGTACCCTGTGGTACATACCAAGTCCCTGTGGTACATAACAAGTCCCTGTGGTACCCTGTGGTACCCTGTGGTACATACCAAGTCCCTGTGGTACCCTGTGGTACCCTGTGGTACATACCAAGTCCCTGTGGTACATAACAAGTCCCTGTGGTACCCTGTGGTACATACCAAGTCCCTGTGGTACCCTGTGGTACATACCAAGTCCCTGTGGTACATACCAAGTCCCTGTGGTACCCTGTGGTACATACCAAGTCCCTGTGGTATAAAAGTGAGTAGACAATGTTTTTGTCATAGTTTCTCTTTCTTTTTTTCGTTTTAAAGAAAATTAAATTATTATACAGTTGAAGGGATGACCAATTTGAGGTCCTACGCCCAAAATCCATCGCATCTTACTAAGAATTGACTCTTTAACTGATATTCATCACGTCCCGGACCTTTTTTAAGTACCACTTAAGTCTTCCGTGTCTGTGTTCACATTCTAGATATCAGAATAGTAAGTGTCCAGCATTGTCAGTATTCAGAATACGTATGTGTGTCTACGGAAGCCATAGACTGCCACGCCCTGGTCATCTCGTTCACTTTGTCACATTCATAATAAAACTGACGACAAATAGTCTGGAAACCCCCTAAATGACCATTTCGATAATCTATAATGTTTATGCTTTAGTTTATATTCCGGAATGTTTAGGGATATTTCCCACCAAAGTTCTTTTACCCAATGACGAAGACGGGCGTGCTGGGATTTGCAGGGAATTTCGTGCCAGGCGAGAAAAAAAATGTTTTTGTAAAGAATAGAACGGCCAATGCTAGTCACGACACTACTACATTCTAAACATTTGAGGCGTTCATTTGTCTGGATGAAAACAACACATCGCACGAAAATTTAGAAAATTTTCCCTAAAAGAACAACGTTGTTTTAGAGATTGAATATTACACTTAAGACTAGAAAGTTTGGTTTATGTGTAGATTTTTAACTATCTCAGTGCGAACGTTTTGTTTTTGTTTGTTTATTTGTTTGTTTTTTTTAATATAAAGTATAACCTAGTCTTGACATTTTATTAATTTCATTAATATACAAAGGTTGATCTACTCACAGAAAATAATGTTCCTGTAGCAATAAAGAAAAGTACACAATTGGAACAAGGTGTGTTGATGAAACACTACGCCTCCGGTTGCAACAACATTCTGAAACGGGACATTAAAACTATATTGTGTGAGGCATGTGCCAATTGCATGCACACTTTTGTCTTCATTGTTGTAATGTTTTTTTCACTTTCAAATGTAGGTCAAAGGTCGAGGTCAAGGTCTGAAACATTTTGGTACCACCGGAAAAGTCTTCTTACAAGGAATACACATGCCAAATTATGAAAGCTTTACCTCTCACGGCGCAAACGTTAACGTCCAGGTTAAATTTGACAATAGACAAACAGGTAGCACAAAAAACAATGTGCCCTCGATTTATAGCAGAGGTCAGTATATAGGTCGCCTTAATAAAGAATATTGTTATTTTCCACAAGCGAAATGCGAGTGAAAATCCACATAACTTGGTATAGATATATATCCAGGTGTTACTAGTTGGACATTTACATTAATGATTGTCTACAAACATTACTGGACACGAGCAAAGCTTCATGGCAACCGACTCATGAACGAACCAGTTATCGCACGCATAACTTGGGAAAATTGTTCATATTTATTAAAAATCTTGTAATTTAAATTGGACATTTCCTAGGAAAATTCAGACTCTTTGGTACTATACGAAACAGCAATAACGAATACACTGCAAACGAAACAAAAAAATACTGTAGTCATTTTCAATTGTTTTATTTAGATATCACAGTAAACATTTTACATTGAATAAGAAATTCAACGAAAATATTTCATCCAAAACGTAACAACCTTTGTTAATATGACACCAACAAGTTAACATACTGTCAATGCGAAACAACTGAATCTTAACAAGGCGATACAAAATGGCGCACAAAAATTTTAAATCATTGCAAGAAGTCAACAGCCTTCCGTAAACATAAATGATTTGCCATGACCGACAAAAGTAAAAATCAACACCCCCATGCGATCACTAAATTTCACTCCTTTCAGATAAAAGATAAATTCTACGTGAAGGAAGGATATTCTATTTTCATCTTTAATGTTTTAATGTGAACCCATATCTCGTTAATCGCCATTTTGTAATACATCGTACGCCAGTTATTCACAAAGTTTAAATACTATGAATATTTACAAAATAAATCTACACACAGTTATCAATATATGGTAGAAAAATATAAAAACTATAGTTCTACTATCGCTGGTAAAGCACTTTTGATTCTAAACAAACCACGTCTTCATTTTACAACACACAGACGAACTATCAAAAACTAATGATAAAATTTTTAAAAATGTCCATGGCGCAGGTGATGAAGAGGTTTGTTACCGCCATTACAATGCCCTTCTCGACTCAAACTTTGCACAATTAATTATTTTGATTTTATTCTCATTAAACGTGAAAACTACTCTAAACACATCTATCTATACGAACTCGTGGCGCCGCTGGAGGCTTCTTATTGTCAAACCGCAAAAAAACACGTGCTCTCTCTCTCATTTACATCCTCACACGCCAACACACCAGACACGCTCGTCACTCCTTTACATTTGTGCATCACTTTTTCACAGCTTTGCGGTTTCTAGAACAGATTCAAAATCCATAAACATATGTACATGATTTCAAAGAGCTTCTGTGATTAGGAAAGGCGTATATCAAAACATTCACAAGAGCAAGCGTTTGCCAAAAGATGAACGATATACGGATAATCTCACTTTATTGGTAAAATACCATGATGTATTTCTGTCAGACACGTCATGTGTATTTTTTTTTTGTAATATGACCGAAAACACATGCTTATCTCAAATTTGAAATATCTGTTCAAGTGCTCTAGGTTAAAGCAAATTTCTCAGGCCTGTTGACGAGTTTTGAATCTATAAGTACTACATTGTTCGAATAGGATGAACTGCATGCCTAATTCCATGTCGATTTAACATATGATGCACCGAATACAAATTCCGGAAGTGCATGAAATTTGATAAACATCATATGGGCCACACACAAATTCATCCTTTCACTTAACACACACCCTTACCCTCACTAATAACATTCATACAGTTCTTTGCAGAAACATTACAAATCTATTTTCTGCCACACTATCGTAGATTTTGGTCATGTGACTAATTGACACATGTACACTATTTCCGCTCTCAAGATACATCATGGGATCCTGGACTGTACTTCCTCCAGCCTTAATAGGCGACAGTTGTTTGTTTTCACAAACATCCATCTTCGGTCGTCCGTCTACTTTGATGCAATGATTCAACCGGATGTTACCTCCACCTTCGTTGTTATTTGGACGATGGTCAAGGCTCAGTGTCGACTGCACAAAGTAGAAGCCGGTGACGTTGACCCGGAAGTAACCGTTGTGGTACTCGATTCCCGTTAGGTGGCGCTCATCCGGATATGTCCACATCACCGTGTTACCTTGGCCTGAAAGTAAAAACACGGGACATTAGTATATCAAATGCATAACGAATATCCTAACAGATGTTTTGAGCAGCAAGTTGTTCAATAGATGTCATATTTAGAGCAGATTTCGAAAAAAAAGAGTGCTGAAGACAAATCAGAAGGAAAGTTTCTTTAAAAATTACTCCTTTTATAAATATGAAAACTTACTTGTTAAAAAAGAGGGATCAATCTCCATTTTAATTCCCAAAGTCGGTAGTTCTGGTCGTGGTTTGTTAGTCATGGGCGGGGCGTACGTCGGATAGTGTGGAGGATCTTTGTATTGCACTGGAGCTCTCTGCAACGACAAAAATGGAGATGACGTCACTAAATGTCAGTTATACAGATATTACTTATTGTGGGCGTGGAAAAGCGGGAAAAGTAACGAGTAATTCTTTAACCAATGCTCTGCCCTGAAACACACCATGTACGGTTTCCTTGTGGTTTTAAGATAGCAGGTAATTCACTTCAGAAAGACCGTCTAAGGAGCTCCAACAATTCTGGAATACAGTGCAGGTTAAATGGGTACGAATGGGATTGTAAAGGGGACGAATCTGCATAGATATGTGGTGTTGAGGTGTAGACAGCAGGGATAGGAGTAGAGGGTGGGTGTACAGAGTGTATTTGTGATTTTTTTACGTAAATTGATATATCCCATATATAAGTGTTTGTGTGTGCGTGTGTAACTTAAATCTGTGTGATCAACACGATCTTGTATATGTGTGAGTACAGTATCAAAAGGTAGATTCCCTTGTCTTTTACTTGTTTACATAGCTACTAAAAATAGCGCACTGGAAATCTACCTGTGGTACGGAGACAAGATATTTGTATATCAATACTTGTAAAAAAATGTGCAGTGTTCGTAATGGTCAAGGTCATGACCGGGTAAAAATTCCCAAAGACTTTTCGAAGTCAGTCAAACGGGTGGAAAAACCCGGATCTCGACTTGTAAGCAGGTTATCTGTATATCGTGACTTCACGCATTGTCTGTGTCGTGTGAATTATTCTCTTCTCAAACAAAACACGCCCCAAACGTTTAAATCATGCAAAAAAACCAGGACAAATAACTTTACATTAGCCGAAATCTGAATACAACTGTTTATGGTGTTGTGAACACGTATATCAAGGAAGCATTGTTCTATATACCTATGTATTACCACGTATTGTACGTCCTTGGTATTACCTACATCATGGTGCCAACTAAGAAATAATTCCACCGAAACCATGAACCACTCTACCACAAAGAACACAAGGCCATAGTGAAAAGTGATAAAAAAAACCCAGAGAGTACTTGAATGCGGAATATCAAAAAGTTGTATCCTGTTCATATCGGCCGATAGTCAAAGGCTGTTGGAATTTTAAGAAAGATATTTCTAGGTTTTACTATAACCACAAAACCTACTTGATAACGTCTGTTTTATCTGTATGTACAAAGGCAGCCATTTTCTTGGTATTTTATTAACGTGTTTGCTATTAGAACAATGTTCTCTTGAGATCAGTATGGTCACTAATTACACAGCTTAATTCGGTAGAAATTTAGCCTCGATTTCGATCCTGGCTTCATCACCATTTTTAAATGATGTTATCAGTTACACGTAATGCACAGTCTTTTGGTGACAATAACTTATACAGAAGGAAAGGTCTCTTACCTGTGTGACCGACATGACAAACATATAATCACATTATCAAACCTAAACCTCGTTATGAATTCAAATAGCAGGGTAAGCGAATCCAACAACACATCCGGACAATTAAGCAAGATAGTTAGTGGGTATGACTCACACACAGGTACGACACGGATCAAAGCACACACCAGATATCCTCGACATTTCCACGAAAACAGCCCCGTAGAAATTCACGCGACATATTCACATGAATATTTGTAAATCACCTTACAAAAATCAGAGTAAAGCATAGATAAACAAATATGCTGAGTCTGTGAAAATTTGAGAAGATCGACGGTGAATGTACACGTTTATGGTGTAAATTTAAGGAATGTCAGGTTAATATTTGTTATAATTACCTAGTAAGTGTGGTGTAAACAGGTGGGTTGGAGTTTTAGGATCGACGATAGATACAGCGTGTACGGGTTGGTATGTGGTATTATCGTTTGCCACATTCCAATGACCAAGATTTCATCACAGTTATACATGGCTGAGAGGTCTAGACGGGTGCTACTGTCTAGGTGTGAGCAGATCGGTTGGGGTCTGACGGGAGGGATATGGAGGGATGGGTACAGGCAAGGTGATATCTGGTTACGAGTACGAACTCGGGAGGGTTATTGTATACATGTAACGAAAATTTAAATATGATATGATAAATATTATCTCTTGATAAAAAATAAACCGAAACACATCAGAATTATCTGTAAACAATTGTACTATTTTGTAGGGGGAAAATCGAATATAACATACCGTGATTTCATTTGAATCATCATGGTCCTGTCCGGCGTGGCCTTTCGGGGACACAATATGTCCCTTGTCTCCGCCTAATTGAAGGATGTCGATCTTGTCAAACAGAATCCACGCAAAAAGCCCCATCCATACAAGCTGTAGCAGGAGGATTGTCACAGCGAAACAGGATAATAATGTGCATCTCCTTTTGGAAGACCTCTGAGATTTCGAACACACGTTCGAACACAAGTGATTATGATTCTGTGGAACACAATTGTCTATGGGAATTGTACAATGGTTTTGTGTATGGATCTGTTTTGGGTTTACATACTGTTTGTGTCCACTGACTGCCTGGACATTGGAATGACCAGCGTTCGTTACTTGCTGTCGATATTGCGAATTTCTTTTGTTTTCTTTTTCACATTGACTCAGGTCTACATAGGAATCCATTTTATTGCTGTTTTCAGAAGGTATGTACGTGGCAGCGTATTCGTTCATATGCCCATTCTGTTGACTGTAATGTCCACTACAGTGTTTCTGGTTGTATTCGAAACGGCAAAAGTTTTGATCTTTCTCTCCGTGTTTCAGAAGGACATTGGCACTGGTAACAGCCGGGCTTATATAGCTGGCTTCTTCACTCGATGGTTTCACAGAAACTTGAAGTTTCTTAAAGTTTTTCTCCTGTATTGAGGATTTTTTCCCCGATTGAAAGTTCACCTCCTGACTGCTACACTCCTGAGCTAAAGTGCTAGTCGGCATGTTGTGATTTTTACAACTTTGATCAATTGTCCACTGTCTACTTATCTTTAATACTCCTGCTTACAAGATAAGTGTGTACATTTCAGCTCCACAGTAAATAACGACCCGCACAGCTCAACATCTACACAAATTATGAATGGGCCTCAGTTTAGCCGTAGGATAACGTGTGGAAAAGGAATTTCCACGTAGGCGTCATTTCTAATAATAGCGCCCAATGGAAAACACAGTAACGGGAATTCCCCGTGCAGATTAAAAAGTCGGGGACTGTGGACATGCAGGAACATGTGCGACACCTGCCGGTAAATAGTCTGGACAACGATCAGTGTAGTACAAAACACATACAAACCAGATGAACATAATTAAAAAAGGAGTATACAAAAGAAAACATACGATTGGAATCCAATACAATAATCAATATATCTTACTAATTATAGATTTTAACAACAGAAATTTTGGGGAAGTCCCTCCGTTCAGGAGTTTTGCCAGTTGGAAATTCTGTACAAACTGAAACCGAAACATGTTGTAGAATTTGATGATATTCACTTTCATAAGATACGTAAAATGTATATCTAGGATCTGTATTAACAATATCCGGTCCAGCGCCCCGGTTGAAATTGTAAGATAGATGTACAAACCCCATAATACTTTCATCAGACACTGCAAAGCGTTGGTTTACAGATAAACAGAGAAATGTCACAGATCTATGGAAAGATTTTTCACACCTGACCCAGGGAATGGGGAAGCACGTGGATTACATCAGCATTATATATAGATCATACATATTTTATACACTAACACCTACCGTAGTCTACATCTGGAATCACTATAAGTCATGTAAGGCTGTATATACAAATGCAGACAAAATTGGTGACAAATTAAATTTTGTTGACCAAGTCATACTAAGCTAATGTAGAACGGAACTAGAAACATGAAATAACGTGTGGAAATTCCAAATATTGAGTATACAGATGTGTATTGACATTCGTGGAATGTCTACCACGTTATTGTAATAACTTGGGATAGGTTTTGTTTGCATTTTGTATAGAAGTGAGGATGCAGTTTCATCAAGAAAACGTCACGGTGCCCTCCATTTTATTGTAGTGACTGGTCATGTACAGTCTAGTGACCAATAATTACAACAGTGTATCATTGATTAATTTGATTAAATGATTGATAGATCGACGCCATAGTGGTCATGTCATGTGTTCGTGCGTGTCCGTACTAACGAAGGGTCACTTAATTACTCCGAAAGACTAAAATGTGCTAACGACGAAGTAAAAAACTAATTAGGTATATAAATGTATAAAACTTGAATTTATATGAATTGTTTTATAATAAATTATCAACTCAATCAGATAATTTAACACTATAAAGGTATTGGGTAAAGTGGCACATGTACTGACTGTAGTCTAACACGTGTGTGGGCGGGGATGGTAGGTACTGATATTTAGCCAATTTTGTTGCAGGTAGGAACCAATAGTAGTAAAATTAGTAATAAGTCTGTTTGTTATATATTGATTCATTTTGAAATGAAAGATTCAGCTGATACACAAATATTTTCTTACCTGGTAATTATTGTTGACGGAACGCCCAACTGAGTGCTGTTGACAAACTAGTTGAATCGGATCCTGGTCGATTCAAAAACTTGTTAAATAACCTCTGATTTCAAATCACAATTAAAAGGCCATAAACGGTATTGTTAAAGCAACTACACTGTAAACACCTGTATTCTGAGAAGTAAACCAACAAGAACAAATAATTAGTATTTTGATATCTTCTTCAGGTCACTTCAAAGGACTTCAAGTGAAGTCATTCCCATTGGGTTGGATTTAGGCCTGTCTATATTAATCTTAATGTAGGTAATATCCTCACAATAGTCAGGGTTATATGAAGACGTTGTCTACAAATGATGGTCATTGACGGACGCTTCCATATAGTACTATCATACTGAAATGATTCGGACATTGAATCACCTGGTCACTTTATACTGACAACGGTTCTAAAAAGGGCAGTCTTGGGTAACTGGTTCAATGATACGCGAAAGGGGAACACAAGTACCATCTCGTATCTCTCCTTAGGGGAATCTCAGCAATGATAAACGTGAGGTGGTCTAGAAAGATATTCGGGGGAAAATAAGCTTGAAAGACGAGAACAAAATAGCAATATCCTAAATTAGACGCCTCTTACGTTTATGGAATGCCTAGGAAAATCTACATAAAGGGCAGCGGTTTTCTAAAAACACATTCTGTTAATTAATCATCTCACGATTCCGTGTCAAGCAAATTTCCACAAAAAGACAATTTTATTGTTCCTGCAAAATAAATGCAAATCTTGTTTATTGTCTCGCACTTCTCTACAGAGGGTATAAAATTGCTATGTCCTTATAAGGTCTGCCTAATTAAGGACCGGTATACCAGCGATATACGAGAGATCTACACAATGATATACTTCAGCAGGAAACACTTGTATTACTTGCCTTCACCAAATATAAACCACATACTTTATCCAAACAACCGCGGCATACATAACCCATTCTATATTTAAACAGAAATAAACAAGTTGTGTATCAAAATATGTTTGTTCAGTTAAGTGTTGTTTTTCTCCGTAAAACAATATAGCACCAACATATTTTTTATGGGACTTCAAAACAAATCTACGTGTAAGGTTGATTGCTGAACTTTAATCCTTAACTTATATACGTGTCATATCAAAAGTCATTGAAATGTTATAAATAAGATAAGCTGATTGTGATTTTTATGTAGCCATGAACAGATATACAAATGAGAGAAATACAATAGTGTATATGTTAAAGATGATCTCGTACATAACAAGAAGGTTAAGGTAAAATAATTGACATGTATTCAAATTTGAAACTGGAGAAAGCAACTCAAGGAAATAAATGTGAACAGGGTAAAATTCGAATAAATAGAGGTAAGTGAAATAGCGTCTGGAAATATTCAATCATAAGTTGACAGGTGTCTGATGGGTCGGAAACTATTCACTCATAGGTTGACAGGTGTCTGATGGGTCAGAAAATATTCACTCATAGGTTGACAGGTGTCTGATGGGTCGAAAAATATTCACTCATACGTTGACAGGTGTCTGATGGGTCGGAAAATATTCACTTATAGATTGACAGGTGTCTGATGGGTCGGAAAATATTCACTCATACGTTGACAGGTGTCTGATGGGTCGGAAAGTATTCACTTATAGATTGACAGGTGTCTGATGGGTCGGAAAATATTCATTCATAGGTTGACAGGTGTCTGATGGGTCAGAAAATATTCACTCATACGTTGGCAGGTGTCTGATGGGTAGGAAAATATTCACTCATAGATTGACAGGTGTCTGATGGGTCGGAAAATATTCACTCATACGTTGACAGGTGTCTGAAGGGTGAAGGATAGGAAAATATTCATTCATAGGTTGACAGGTGTCTGATGGGTCAGAAAATATTCACTCATACGTTGGCAGGTGTCTGATGGGTCGGAAATATTCACTCATAGGTTGACAGGTTTCTGATAGGTCAGAAAATACTCACTCATAGGTTGACAGGTGTCTGATGGGTCAGAAAATATTCACTCATACGTTGACAGGTGTCTGATGGTGTCTGATGGAACTGGTATCTGATGTGTCGAAAATATTCACTCATAGGTTGACAGGTGTCTGATGGGTCAGGTGTCTGATGGGTCGGAAAATATTCACTCATAAGTTGACAGGTGTCTGATGGGTCGGAAAATATTCACTCATAGGTTGACAGGTGTCTGATGAGTCAGAAAATATTCACTCATACGTTGACAGGTGTCTGATGGGTCGGAAAATATTCACTCATACGTTGACAGGTTTCTGAAGGGTGAAGGGTAGGAAAATATTCACTCATAGGTTGACAGGTGTCTGATGGGTCGGAAAATATTCATTCATAGGTGAACTGGTATCTGATGTGTCGCAAAATATTCACTCATAGGTTGACAGGTGTCTGATGGGTAGGAAAATATTCACTCATAGGTTGACAGGTGTCTGATGGGTCGGAAAATATTCACTCATAGGTTGACAGGTGTCTGATGGGTCAGAAAATATCCACTCAGAGGTTGACAGGTGTCCGATGGGTCGGACAATATTCACTCATAGGTTGACAGGTGTCTGATGGGTTGGAAAATATTCACTCATAGGTGAACTTGTATCTGATGTGTCGCAAAATATTCACTGACTTAACTTATCACGTTATTTATTAAACTTATTTAACTTATCAAACTTATCACTCATAGGTTGACAGGTTGACAGGTGTCTGATGGGTCGGAAAATATTCACTCATACGTTGACAGGTGTCCGATGGGTCGGAAAATATTCACTCATAGGTTGACAGGTTGACAGGTGTCTGATGGGTCGGAAAATATTCACTCATAAGTTGACAGGTGTCTGATGGGTCGGAAAATATTCACTCATAGGTTGACAGGTGTCTGATGAGTCAGAAAATATTCACTCATACGTTGACAGGTGTCTGATGGGTCGGAAAATATTCACTCATACGTTGACAGGTTTCTGAAGGGTGAAGGGTAGGAAAATATTCACTCATAGGTTGACAGGTGTCTGATGGGTCGGAAAATATTCATTCATAGGTGAACTGGTATCTGATGTGTCGCAAAATATTCACTCATAGGTTGACAGGTGTCTGATGGGTAGGAAAATATTCACTCATAGGTTGACAGGTGTCTGATGGGTCGGAAAATATTCACTCATAGGTTGACAGGTGTCTGATGGGTCAGAAAATATCCACTCAGAGGTTGACAGGTGTCCGATGGGTCGGACAATATTCACTCATAGGTTGACAGGTGTCTGATGGGTTGGAAAATATTCACTCATAGGTGAACTTGTATCTGATGTGTCGCAAAATATTCACTGACTTAACTTATCACGTTATTTATTAAACTTATTTAACTTATCAAACTTATCACTCATAGGTTGACAGGTTGACAGGTGTCTGATGGGTCGGAAAATATTCACTCATACGTTGACAGGTGTCCGATGGGTCGGAAAATATTCACTCATACGTTGGCAGGTGTCTGATGGGTC